AGCTGAGAGGTGGAGGTTGCAGAGGTGGAGACTGCGGTTGGAGGCTGTATCAGGGGTGGATTGGTGGCCTCAGGGAGCACAGGCCAAGTCCAGAGTAAACAGCTTAGGCATGAGAGAATAATTGTGTGATACTAACAGGTGTTTACCCTGAATAATGGGGATAGGTAACTGAGCTATGATGTCTAAAGAAATCAGCCCTCCACCTTGTTTGTGTCTCTGGGCAGATGAGATGGAGGCTCAGTCAACTGGCTGGGAGTCAGCCAGCAGAGGCCACTGGATACAAGCAAGTCATGGTCTGTGCTAGAGACCAGAGGTCTTATGCTTATGCACAAGTATAGTAAAAAAAAAAAAATATATAAATATATATATATAACGTGAACCATCATAAATTGGGGATTATCTGTACTCCTAAGGCCACCTGGGTGCAGGGGAGGCTCAGCGTCCTTCTGGAAGGAATCTGCTGAGGTCTGGATAGATTTGGGGGTGTGAAGAGCCAGGTTCCGTGTTTAGACACTCTGAACATTTCATGTTCCAATCATTCCTTTATCCCTTTATTCCCTTTTTAATACATTCATTTACTTATTATCGCATTTTACCATTCAAGTAACAAACCCACTCAAACATACATTTGCTGCTTCTTTTCTTCTTTATTCCAAAAAGGGAGCTCATATTATCACCTATTATATGTCACACACTGACCAAGAGTTTCAGAATGGTACTTTTTCCTTCTATAACACCTTTTCCATGTGTCCTTCTATTCAAACAGAATCTATTGTTCCAGCAAGGCCTACATCACCTTTCATTTCCTCCCTGAAAACTCCTCAGTCATGTCAGCCATGGGCTCTTCTCTTTGAAATTCTTTCTGTATTTAGCTCTGAATCACACATTTTGCTACATAAATAGATTTTGTTCTAGCTTCCCTTATCTGTCCAACTAAACTATAAGTTCTTTGGCTATAGGGACTTAGAATATGACTTTTTACTATCTCTAATATCAATAAGCCTTTAAGCCCTCAATAACAGAATTACATTTTAGGGTAACATGCTCCTATGTGACAGGAAAGGTTTTTGATGCATTAAAACTAGGACTAATTGAGTTTTTCAGGAACACTATTTGGAGTATGAACAGTTTAAATTACAGGTCAGCTATGAGAAAGACAGAAGATAAAATCTGAAAGGCAATAAAGTAGCAATTTACATTTATTTTCACCAGAGACTAAAGGAATACATTTTAACACAGTGACAAGTTAATGTTGGAGCTTTGTAGAAAGTTGAATTACACAGATACACTTTAATGCAAGTATTTTAGGTTTCTATGACTTGGGTTGGGATTTGCAGGTTCTTCTGATGTGAGCAGCTGCTGAGGGACACCATTACCAGAATCTAGAACTTGACCCCAAGACTTTTCTCCAATAAAGAGATCAAGTTACCTAGTTCTAGGATATGAGAAGTAGGTGCCATAGCCAAGATTCTCCTTTTGCTCTCACTCTGTAAGTAGGAGGGCACATGGGAAAAAAGAGGAAAGAAATTTAGAAGTTTTAAACAGCACCTATAAAATGCCAATGTAGAGAAATAAAGAAATTGATTCTCAGCAGAGTCATTTCTTGACCAAATATAGCTTTTCATGTCCCATTTAGGAGTATTTTCCGGTCCCATACTTTAATATTGCTGTTTCTTTTTTCAAAATTTATTTATCTTCCTCTTACTTTATACCATTTATGTTAATTTCCCCTTTTAATCTCATCCCCCTCTATCACCAAAGTGTTTTTTTTTTAATTAAAAGTTTTTATTTAAAACACCTGAATGTAGCCTTTTGTGAGAAAGGATTGGGTTAGTACCCAGGGAGGGGACCAGGTCAGAAGTTCCTTTTGAGTGGTTGCTCTGTTGGGTTCTGTTCTTGGAATATGTCTGCCTTTGTCCAGCACTTCTATAGTCACATCAGGAAATACCTTTCTGGTCATCTGGGACTCCTTGGTGAAAAACACATTAAAAGTGATGAGTAATTGTAATGCTTATTCTGTATTCATTATAATCTAGAGTCAATTCAGAGGCTCATCTGTGCACAACACAATTTTTTAAATGCAGCTTTCAGTTTGTCTATATATATATTTTTAGTTATCTACCACTATGTGGCAGGCACTGGCCTCAAGATATTGATATGAGCATGCTGCAGTCTCTGCTCTTATGGATCTTATAGTTAGAAGGATAAAATGAAATCTGGCATGTAACCTTCCATGACTGTTTTAAGTTTCACTCCATCACTCTCCCTGTGTGAAACATCCTTCTTTTGGTGGTGGGGGTGGTGATGAGAGGTACTATTTACTATTTGATCTGGGCTTAATGGCCCATCAGTGGCATCATTTCAAAAGTATGTATGGGAAGCAGGGAAATTTAGCGGGGATTGATCGTTCAAAAACTTAGAAGCTTGAAGGAAGGGTCTGGTCTAAAGATCACATAGCTGTCCTTGATTTCCCTCTTTGTACCCCACCCTGGACTGTGAGCCTTAGACTCTGGGAAGACAGAGGATTTGCCATCCTTCTGATGCCACATCCACTGCTTTGAACATTTATTAGGCAATTACGTTGATGGAAGTAATTGTTATATATCTTGCATGCATTATATTATGTAATTATTATAAACCTGTAAAGTAGATGTTTTTATTAACTACATTTTAGGGATGAGGAAACAGAGACTAAAATAGGTCATATAACTTGGCCCAGGTCACATGCTGCTTACCTGGTGATGAATGTCAAAGTAAAGATTGGAACCTGGTCCTCGATTTACCATATTTTTAATCCAATACCTACACTGCTCCACTCTGGGATTCCTCATATGGTGACCAAGCCAATAAGGGTTACTTGTCACTACTGATGGAGTTGATAAAAACTCACTGGGTGTGTCTTACACATAGGTGTTCCTCTTTCAGTTCAGTTCAACAAAGCTTCATAGTTGGCTCTGGACAAGACTCTTTGGGACAGGAACTTGATAGGTCCTCCATAAATACCAGATCAAAACAGAGGAGGGCTAGAACTGAGTGACTTTCAATGGACCAGCACCACAAAATGTTGTTTTATGAAAGGTCATTTGATTATGCCATTTCCTGCATTCATTCAATCACATTCATTCATTCATTTATTCAATCACATTCATTCATTCATTCAACTCTGGTAAAGGGTATGGGGTGAAAGAAGCAGTTCCTGAATCCCAGGCCCCTCATGTAGAGAAAGAGACAGGCAAGCAAGCCAATAGTTTCAATATTGAACCTCATTTTCCATGTATTTTCTAATAATTAAAATCCATGCACAAATTATTTGTATTACCTTTATTAGACATTAAATTAGGTTTCTTTTAAACCTAAAAGGTAACAAATTCAAAAGTAATCCAAGAGAGTAACAATGGATCCATCTGACACATTGTTTCAAATTCTGATATCACCTTTTTTTGTATCACTTTCATTTTTTAAGTCTAGGGTCTCTCCATTGCACCTTGTAAAACTGCATTAACTCAATTCTAAATATTTTTAAAAAGTCAGTGTCTAAAAAGTTATCCTTTGCTCCAAAAAAGACATCCGCATATCCAATTCACAAAATTTACAGTATATGAGGAATTATTCATTAGCATTGCAAAAGAGAATTCCCCCAAAGAAAGGTTCATTGTCCCTTAAAAAAAGTAACAATTTATCAACGATGGTCTTAACTTCTGGCAGAGAAACTTAAGGGTGAGGATCCCAAGCTAAGGGAAGCCCCTGGAGTTACAAAGAGCGTCAGAACGATGTGCCTCCATCTTCAAACTGGGATTCAGGCACTCTTTGGAACTAGCCTCACAAGGAAGGGACCAGACTGGTAAGTATTCCAGGAGGTGTAGGTGTAGGGCTTTGTACAAAGACCACAGAAGTGGGCACAGGGAGTGGAGGGGTGGAGGGAAAACTTGGGATCCACCTGGTTTTCTTCATCTTCCCGGGGTGGGGCGGGGGGGCTTTCTTTACTCCTGCATTCTGCTGCCGTGTGAAAGAAAATACGTTTCAGACCGGTTTTTATTTTTGCAGCAAATAAAGTTTTTTCCCCTTACTTTCTATGGAGCCAGAAAGTTACAGCATGTGAAACTAACAAAACATACTTGTTGATAACCTTTCCTTCTCGGGCCTGTCAGTTTCACCACCTCCAGCCTGAAGGTGGTCGCCTACCCTGGTTTTTTGCACTGCATTAAAAGCCGGCAACAGGTGTGCCTCGACCCTCATCAGCTCTCTCCTGAGTCACCTTGTCGGCATTCCATACTGGCTTCAGCACTTCATCGCATCCGTGAACTAGGTAGCTGCACTGTGCAATAATAAACATAACACCGAGGCTTGACCATCAGCCCGCCTAACAGCGGGGGAGGGAGGGGGGGGCGAGCCGGGGGGGGGGGGGGTTCCAGGGCGCACGCACAGCGCTCCCCAGTGGTGGTTCTGGGGCACTTTCCCCCGGGTCAGACACCCCCGCGCCGCGCCGCCTGGGCCACGAGGTCTCTCTCCTCCAGACTCCCGGCGCAGCCTTAATCGGGTCCGAACTTCGCCTAGCGGCTCCCGCCCTCAGAGGGGTCTTTCCTCCCGGGCCCTCCCGGAGGGCGGGCGGCGGCTCGGGGAAGGGGGCCCAAGCGAGCCTCCGGCCCAGACCCGCGCGGGCCGCGCCGAGCAGGGGTCGCGGGGCGGCCGCGGGGTTGGCCCGGCCCGCGCCGGAAGTCCGCGCGTGCGCGCTGGGGGGCCGGGAGCGCGCGTCCGGCACGGAGGGGCGGAGGAGGCGGGGCCGCGGCCGCTCGCAGGGAGTCCCCGCCCCCGCCCCCCGGCGTTCCGCTGTCGCCTTGACAACCGGAGCAGCGGCAACGGCGGCGGGAGCGCGAGTCCGGCGCCGCCTCCCGGCCGCACAGCCAGGCTGGCAGTCGCCGCCCGGCCTTGCAGCTTTCTCCGCCTCCCCGCCCGCGGGGAGGGACCGGCCCGCCCTCCGCCCGCCCGCCCGCCCGCCCGCCGGAGAGTGAGCGGCGCCGGGGCCACCCCGCCAGCCCGCCGTTTCCCGGCTGCCGTCCGGGCGCGCGCAGCGAGGGGGAGCGACTATGCCAAGATGGTCCTGCAGGCGCGGAACAAGCACCGGGAGGCGGCCCCGAAGCCGCCCCAGCCGCCCCGTGCCTCGCAGTCGCCGCTGAGGGGAGCGCCGGACGTGGGCGCCGGGGAGCCCGGGCCCGAGCGCGCGTCCCCGTCCTCGGGGCGCAAGGGCGCGGGGGGCAAGAAGGGGCCCCGCTCGGAGTCAGGCGCGCCGCCCGCAGGGGGCGGCCTCGGGGGGCGGCTGGCCGCGGGGCTGCGCGGGGCGCTGGGCCTGCGGCGCGCGGGGCGCGGCCGGACCTGGACCACGCTCCTGCTAGGTGAGCAGACCCGGCGCGCGGGCGCCGCCGGACGCGGAACTTTGAGGCGCGGGCCCCCCTCGCTCCCTCCCTCCCCGCTTCGGCGCCGCCGAGCCCCGCGGGCCGGCCCCCGCCAGTTTGCAGCCCTTTCCGACTTTTCCCGGGACGTCCTCACCTCCTCCTCCCCTCCCCCGGCTCAGCCTGCCGCGTTCGCTCTCCAGCCGCTCCCGGTCCCTGTATTTGGAAACACGGCCCCGCGATCAACAGCTGCCCGGCCTGGCGGAGAACCGGCAGGTCTGCGCGGACGAGACTCGGGCACTGCTGCCTGGCGCGGACCCGTCGCCTTCCCGTTATCTCGGCCCCTGCCGCGGAGGATGGTTGGCTTCAGGTTGGGAGTGAGGGTGTAGGACCGAAAGCAAAAGCTCGTGCCTTGTCCTGGAAAGTTGCTAAACTTATTAAATTGTAGCGTGCTTTTTACTTGGCCGCAGACGCCGTCGGTGACACTTATTTGTGATTTCCCCCTGGGCGCCTCACTTTCCAGGAAGTGTTGTGTTTGGGGAGCCCGGGGCTAGTGCTTCCCGCTGAGCGGGGGAGCCTGTGGCGAGGAGGGCTCTTTTGGTCTCGCCGCCAGGCACCAAAGGAATAATGTGTAACGTTAGGCTTTAAAAAGACAAAAAAAGAAAGTTGAAACGTTCACAGGTTGTAGGCCGACTTAAGGCTCCCTTTGTTTCCGGATGCACATCCGATAAGGCAAGTTATAGCAGTTAAGATAATAGGCCTAGTTTTTCCAAGTCATTCGGTAAAAGGCTGTCACATTTCCTTTCCTATGTAATGCCATGAAAGGGCTTTGGCTGCCGAATTATTTAACTTTTGGTGATTTATTCCTTGTTACTCTTTAAGATTCCTTTAGTGACCCAAAAGAATTTCGTGTGCAAATAGGCCGAGGAATAGGACACAGCAAAATCGGCTTCCCTGGAGATAACATCCACCACTAGAAGCCACTCAGTCATAAAAAGCCAGAGTCGTGTGTGTGTATGTGTGTGTGTGTATGTGTGTGTGTGTGTTAATAGGCTCAGGAAAGGTTGGCTTTATTATTGGGGTACTTTTTTTTTTCTATTGCAGATTAAAGATTAAAGCCTAGAAAAACTCAAGTGTTTTCAGTAGCGATCTCAAAAAGCCTGGCTGGTGTGCAGGTTAGATCGGTTCACCTTGGGGAGGCAGCATGGTACAGTGGATGAGACAGAGGCTCCAGATTCAGTTCACAATGGTTAAGTTTAGCATAAGTTTCAAGTTATTTCCTTTGTGAGCCTTTTCTTCCCTATGACATCAACTGCTCTACTTACCCCAGGGGCACCTTCCTGAGGGGCAGAGCTAACTGGAGTGGGTAATAAATGCACGGGAAGGCACTGATTTAACAGTATTTTGTTGCTGTTACACAAGCAAATATTTAATACTGATTTGAAGTCTGGTAACAGAATGAAGTTGCATATTTCTTGAATGACTGATGAAAACATTAACCATCATATGGTGAAATACAGAATGACATTTCTTCAGGGAGGTTGCAGTAACAAATCATAGAGTGATGTAATATCTGTTGCTATTTTCTTATGTATTTTCTTTTCTGATAATTGTTTTTCCTTTGACTCTTACATTATGCTGGATGGCTTATGTTTGGATTTAGTAATACATGTGCCTAAATACAGATTTGTATTAATGTGATATTGTGTGGCACTTGATTTATTTGACTCATTCCTGTGGGCCCTGGATGGAGGTACAGTGAAGGACCTGTTCCATGTTCTTGGGCGCGCTTTGGACACTGGTCATCCCATATTGGGAGGTTGGATGACCAGACCAAGGTTTGGAGAATTCCTGCCATTGATAGCCATCTGCATGAGACCACAGAGCAGCTTGAGGATGGCTCAGCAGAACCACTGGGATTAATGAGTGAGGGCTGAGCTGACATTGTACAGTTTTTTAGTAGGGGACTTTGTTATGACAAAAGTTGCTTCTTTGTGTTTAGGAAGACATTTTCACAACTTGAGGTTCCTTGATGGAAGATTTGATGACTGATTTTAAGATTTAGAAACTGATGAAGGGTCCCTATTTCAGTTCTTCTCCTGGTCATGTGTATTAAGCCCTGTGAAGAGGAACTTACTACCTACCGGGGTGGTCTTTCCATTCTCCGATAGTGTTGTTAAGCATTGTTCAAATCAATTTTAGTAAATATATATATTTTTCTTCTTTTTGGACATTAGTTAATATTTATTCGACAACAGTTGTAAGAAAGGGTTCTTGAAATGTTTATTTTTAGAATTTTTAGTGCAGTAGCTCCCTGTATCAACCAGGGGAAGCAATGACTTAGTAAGAAGTACCATGATAATGGTTCTCAAACTTTTTTAATGAGAAGCCATGCAATAAACAATATAGTTTATGTGTAAATTGTCCACACTTTTGAAAATGCCACCCAGTGCATTTATGCATGTGTTTGTCACCTATTTATGCACGTCATTGTCCTGGCAGGAAACACACTTAATAAGTGGTATGTTTTCAGAAGTGTGAGCAGGTTTAAAGAATCCACAGAGAATACTGAGGCAGCCAGGAATTGTCAACATGGAAAGCTTGAAGGGAAGAGGAACTTTTTCAGGAGAAGAACCCAGGAGAGCTGTGCTGTAGCAGCAAGATCATCCAAGAAGAATGGCCCCCAAACACTTAGCTCCCACCCTGGCATTGCTTACTGGCTAGCCAAGTGAAAACCTTGAGGCAAGGGACCAAAATGAATCCTTATGTGAGGGTTGAATGTTCCTAAAACTGGGAACAGGTCAGAGAAAGGAGGAGAACATATTGGAAAGACAATGGAGACTCATCTGTACATATGTGCATATACTTACTTAAGACAAAAGGGCCCTGTAACATCCTGCACTTACCCTTATTTACTACACTTGGACTGTCTAGTCTCTTTTAAAAAAGATGTTGTTTTTAATAAGATGTTGCTTTTTAATTTTATGATCTAATATTATGACCCACAGTTTGAAAACACTGCTTAAGAAAAACTTCCAATTCAACTCTTGTTAAACTCGTTTTTTTTTTTTAATGACCCTTAGTTTGTGCACATGTAAAAATGGGACTCCTGAACTCAATCTCAATCTTAGCTGTGTACTAGAGTCATGAAAACTAAAAATCCTGATAACCAAATCACACATCAGAGCAATAAAATCAGAATTTGGGGATGGGTGGGGTGGAGGAAAAGCATCTGCGCTTTAAAGTGTGATGTTCTGCCTCTCGTTCGAAGCGTGCTATGGAACATCACTGAGCTGACATCCCCATGGGGCACATTTGCCCTGGAACTAAGTAAATATCCTCCTCCCCTTCCTAAGTGGGAACACAGAATCCAGTTTGCCAAAATTTTGTTTTTCTAGTTTGCCAAAGTCCATTTTTCCTCATATACTGTTTCCCCCAAACTGGGATCGCCAGTTGTCATTTATCATCTGATACTGTTGGGGAAAAGGATGTCCTGAACACACTCCACAAACACATGTGTTACGGACTCCACCCCCACCCCAGACTAAAGAGATCAAGACACCAAGGACCATAAATCCTATCATGTCATCACCACTGAAGGGAGGATTGCTGGGAACTGAAGGTGGAGCTAAGCAGACAGAGTTGGTATATAACCAGACATGCGGGCCTTGGGGTCCCCTTCGGTTTTTTGCCAGCTTTCAGCGTGCTATTAGGGTCCCAGCTCAGCAGAGCTGGTAGGACACATTCACCAATTTATCTCTTTCTCCCTGAGTTATTCCTTTCTTTATTTCCCCCTTTTTGTAAATAAATCCTTTATTAACCTTTTTGTGTGTGCCTACAGTTGTGTCTCATAAGTTCCTTATAAGCACCCAGGTGAGGACCCAGAGTCAGGCCAACCCATTTCACATTAGGGTTGCCCTGTAACAATATAACTGCTATTTTACTTTGATTTGAGAGAAGAGTGACATGTTTCCTGTACCTGTGTCCCTTTTCAAAGGAGGGAAGACAAAGATAGCTGGGGAGGGGATTGTGTTTCAGGGAAAAATAGAAGGGGTGCTATGTTTTGTGGATATACTAGTTAAACTTGCACACAAAGCCTGTCTGTGGTGAGGGACTGTAACTTAAGATGCGATGCCATGGTCAAAACAAGCATAATGAAAAAATGTACCCTGAATATGGAAAGATGATAAAGACCACTCTTTTTTGCCCCTTTACTGCTGTCCTCCGTGACTTATTTTCATTACCTGCCTGCTTCCTGTGGTCATAGCCACTGCGCTCCTGCTTGCAGCTGGCTCTTTACTGGTAGGGCTTCTCACTACAGTGTCTTGGTTGGGAGAAGTCTTTGTCTTGGGGGATATTTGGTAACACCCTGGCCTCTCTGTTAGATGCCAGTAGCACCTCCCCAGCTGTGAGAAGAACCTGAGTCTCCAGATGTTGGCATATGTCCCCTGGGAGGCAAAATTGCCACATTTAGAACCACTGCTTCTGAGAGCCTGGAAGATCATTGCAGTAAAAGCCCTGAGAGCTGGCTTTTCTTTTTGCATGTAGTGCTTGACTTTGATGCCCATTGTCGATTTCAAAGAGGACCAGTGATTCATTGCCCAGCTGTCACACAACACATAAAGGTGGCGCCCCCTTCTTCCCACTTCTCTCTCACCTACACAGTGATCTCAATGTGTGGCCCCTGGTGTGCTTGTAAGTAATAATAATCCTCTATTTTTCAAAGTCTCTTTATGGGCATCACTAAAGAGTATTTTGCAACCGTACTAAGAACCACAAGCACCTGTCTAACCACTACAGTGGTTACTGATAGGCAGAAACTTGCACACAACACCCTTGTAATGGGAAACACACGCAGCTTCTTTGGGGAAAAGGAGTAGGAACATGGGTGGAGGCAAAGGGCTGAGGGTACGGCGTTGGGAGTAGAATGGGTAGGAGGCAGTGCGGTGCACTTGGAGAAGCACAGGTATCTAATACTGACTTGCCTTTGAATGCTGTTTCCA